ATGAAAGATAGAGACAGGAGAATCGTGGAAGCTCACAAGCCAGCTAGTGAACAACAGCTAGTATATATGTAGCAGTGAACAACAAAAGGACTCTGTCTCAAACAAGTTGGAAGGTGAGGACTGACACCTGAGGTTGTCCTCCGTCCTCCACACGTGCAGTGGCACACACACACACACACACACACACACACACACACGCACACACACGAGTTTGACCAGAGGTACCCTGCATGGGTGGATAATGCTGCTCCCAAAGTCATAGGTTATTAAGCAAAACCCCTAGCACTGAGTGTGAGAGGTCTCCCTGTGAGTTGTTGGCCAGGGAGGCCCAAGAAGCCCCCCCCCAAATAATACAGCCTACTGCCATTGCTCTTGGTTGCCCACCAGAACTAGATGATAAGATCCTGTTACTGAAGACACCACATACTTTGAGGACAGAAAAAATTAATCTGGAACTGAATTAGAATAACTTCCTCTTTGTTGGCTAGCTTTCATTGAAGTAGAAGGGACTATGTAGGCTTCTAGTGGAGAAAAGTGGTCTCCCACTTTAGTGGTCTTACCTAGTTGTGAATCCTGTGAGCTACAATACTGACCTGCCAGACAAAATGTGTCCACTGTTACAATAGTGGCATGACTGTTATGGGGGTAACCAATTGCTTTCTCATTGGATTTGAGGTCCAATTTACAGAAGAGAATCATGCTTGATACTATAAACTTGATCAAAAGCTCAGGAATGATGAGGTCATAGGCCCTAGAAGGGACTACTATTGTTTTGCTATTTATTGATTTTTGAGACAAAGTCTCACTGTGCAGCCTAGGCTAGCTTCAAACTCAAAATCTTCCTGCCTCGGTCTCCTGAGTACTAGGATTCTGGGTGTTGCCTGGTTTCTAGTACCAATTAAGATGGACAAAATAGGTGATATTTCCTCTGACTTTTTAATGATAAAACTTTCCTAGACTCACCAAGAGACCAGAAAAGAGAGTAAAGCCTACAATTTCCAAATCCTGGTGGAAGCAGAATAATACGACAGAGAAGATGTTCACTTTAAAATCAGGCAGCCTGCTGGAATCTTGGTCCCATTTCAAGCAGTATGACCTTGAACATTTTACTTACCTTCTTTGGATTTCAAATTTTTCATCAGTAAAGTGCGGATAACAGTACCTGCCTCATGGGGTTGTACAGTGAAATAATTTTTTAAAATATTCCTGGCAAATAGGTGTTGAGTAAATATAAATGTACCACCTTGAGGATAAGTAGAAAAAATAAGCAGCTAGAGAAAATAAGAATTTAGCATTTGGAACACATACTGAAGTTGGGATCTGATTCTAATTAATGAGTTGAATATTGAAATTTTGAGCTTATGTGTTGCCTGGCAACTCAAACTAACTCACTAGCACCAGCTACCAGAGTAGTTGTCATTTTTAATCAAAGCAGCAATTAAACTGTTCTTAAGAAGCTCAAGGTCATACACAAAGGATTTCCCTGTACATTGGGGGTTCTGCCAGATATTTTGAAAAAAAATGATGTCTCATAGGTTGGAATCTTCTCTACTCCTTTGTCCTTAAGACTCCCAGAAGGTATTTGAACATCTAAAGTTGGGGGGTGGAAGTCAAAGGCAGAAGCTTGCTCTTTCAATCCTAGCATAGTCAATCACCGTTTATTGAGTCCTAGGGGTCAGGCATACAAAAACGTCTGTGTCTGTCCCTGCTGCCCCTAGAATTTCAGAGTATGGGAGACGAATCAGTCAATGTTAAATAATACAGCAAAGTGTTTCATGAGTGGCTATCTTCGTCTCCAAGAGTATCCTGAGCCTTATGGATTGAGTAGTGCAAGTAGATATGGTGGGTCCCAAACATACACTAAAAGAAGGTGTTTTGAGTTTCCTGGCAACCCTGTCCTGAGAATATCCCACTTTGGTTTCCCAACTCATACATACTACCTGATTCGCAGCTTTGCCTGCTGGCCAGAATGAAGCTGGGCAGAGGGGCCAGAACGAAGTGGGTTTCCACACTAACTGCCTCTTTTACCTGAAGCAAGGGACTTTGCCATTCTGTGCCCTGAACTCCTCATTTGTAAGCTTGGCACGATGATTTAGATTCTGGCTCCTTTAGGCAGCCAGGATGATGCAGTAAGGTAACAAAGATGACCACTCTGAGCAGATAAACACAGTTCTGAGCTAATCTTCATCAGTATACCACCAGTTTTTATTGCCTGCCATTGAGCATCTTTTTATCACATTTTGAATTTCCTTGTTCCTTTTTAATCCAATCTTAAAGTTTTAAGAGAGAAGAAAAAGATTAAATTTAGAACTGTTGTGTTAGTTTGCACTGGACTTTGTCTCCATCATTTGTAGCTCAGAGTGATAACTTCTTTTACAGGGAAAATCAGAGTTATTGCCTAAGGAAGAAATCCACTGTACCAGTTGGACAGTTCAGCATTTATTTATACACAACATGAGGCCTAAGGGCCTGTAAGACAGGCAGCTGGTCCGTGAATCATGTCTGGCATTTGTACAGCACAGCATAGAGGACCTCTCCTGCCCATCACCTGCCCCTGTCAGTTCTTCCTCTTCTAATAAAGTACATCTGTTTTGGTGATGAATAGAAACACACCAAATGGGGAGAGGCTGGGTGGGGAGTAATTTAATCAGGGCAGGTCAGCATGTTCCAGCCGTACAGTGTCAAGGACAGAAAGATGGTCTGGTAGCAGTTTAATGAAGCAGAAGTAATCTGGAAAGGGCCAAAAGCACAGTTCCTCTTGTATGCCTAGTGGGTCACACTTTTGGAATGTAGGGGCCCCAATATAGCCTCCAAATGAAGCATTTTAAGTGTGTAATTCCTTGGCTCCTTCCCAAACGGTTATAAACCGTTTTACATGGCCTTGCTCTTATTAGCATCGTTTTAACATTTTGTTGAGGATTATAAATTTTTAAAGAAGTTCAAACCAAAGTTCAGAGCCCCACTAGCAATTCTATTTAATATTGGCTTTTGTGGCTGTGTTCAGTATCCTGAAGAATTGATTGGCTTAAAACGCCTCAGTTTTAAAAGTAAAACAGCAGGAGAGTGACATTTGTGGGCCCAGCTTTGTGGTTATCATCCTCATTGCATTTTTAAGAACTTGTCTTTGTTGTGACAGTTCAGGGGTATAGAATTCTGTGTTTTGTTTAAAAGAGAAGAAATTGAGCGTGTTCAGGATGCCGATCTGCATTGAATTTTATTGTCTCACAGATTGACTGTAATTAGGGTTCTGCAGAGTGCTTGAAATGTCTTTTAAAACAAGTAAAAATAACATAGCTGTAAGTCGTAGGTGTAGTAATTCTGTCTTTCCCTCCCTCCGCTCTTCCTTCGTCCTGTCCTTCCTTCTCCCGACTCACTGGGCATCATTCTTGAAGTCGTTCCTTGAGGAGACCAAAGTGCACTAATGAGGAGCTCCAACAACCTCGCCCTTGTTCCATTCTCGTTCTCTGATCACACTGTCCTTTTACTCACTAAGACATTTTCATTTCCACGTGTGCACTTTTTTCCTTTGTGAGACAAAGTCTGTGACATATGATATTTTATTAACAGGTGTCCTGGAAGTGATCTGTATCAAAAACAAAGCACTAAATATAGCATAGACATTCAAGGCCTTTGCATGTTACTGGCTTTAAAAACTCAACCTAATGAATATTTTACATTGAAACCATTAGTGGTGAGGAAACCTGGCAGTAAATGATGCATTGATCCTGGACCTCTGTCATCACGGCCAACTCTCCTGACTCCAAATCTCATGTTAGCATTTTCACCATATGGCTGGAAGGGTAGAGAATATATGTTCAGAGGAACAGGTCAAAAACATTTTTGGCCATCTGGCAAATAAATGTGTAAGTGGTGCTGGGGAAAGAACTGAGTGGTTAAGAGCACTTGCTGCTCTAACAGAGGACCTGGGTTCAGTTCCCAGAACCTACATACTGGGTAACTCATATTCCAGGTGATCTGATGCCCTCTTCAGGCTTTTTCAGGCATTGCACACATGGGTGCACAAAACACTCATGCATATAAAATAAAAATAAAGGTATAAATAAGAATATTAATATTTGCTTATTTATATGGATGCAACATTTAACTTGAAATAACCACTAATACAGCAAAATATATTATAATGTACCATAGATTTTTGAAATTACTTTAATCCAACTTATTAAACATTTTCACAGACTATTATTTATTCTTAAAAACATGTCTCCTGGGAGCCGGGTGTGGTGGCACACACCTTTAATCCCAGCACTTGGGAGGCAGAGGCAGGTGGATCTCTGTGAATTCAAGGCCAGCCTGGTCTGCATAGTGAGTTCCAGGACAGCTGGGGCTATGGGGAAACTGTGTCTCAAAAAGGAAAAAAAAAAAAAAAAAAAAAAAACTATCTTCTGATTATATGTTTCCTATGTTTATTGATTTCTTTGGGGTCCTTAGATTGTTGAGTTTAAACCATGTGATTGGATTCAGCATGTGTTCAACAGTGCTGAAGTCCTGTTCTGCTAGTGACTGCTGTGTGGCTTGGACCTCTCTGAGCCTCAAATTCTTAAGGTATAAAGTGTGAATAATACAGCATTAGACAGCATCCCTCGAAGGGGACGAGAGGCATGGAGGACCATGGACCATCTAAAGTACATGGAGAGCTTGTTCAAAACACCTGTGTATCAGCCGCAGCAGTTCTGATTTAATATACCTGGGGAAGTCAGTAAATCTTCATTTTCAGTCATTTTAGCATGTGAGGTACACTGAACCACTACAATAAGACGAGGTGACTACAAAGGACTTAGTTACCCTGAAAAAAAGTAGCTAGCCAATGCTAAGAAATGTTTTTATATGATAGACATTTAACTCCCTGAAATTTATGCTGGGAATCTTCTAACTCCATAGTAGCAGATCAACTTGTATAAGCAATGCTGTTGATTCACTGAATAAAGTGCCATTCCATTTTTCTGTTTAATTAGATCATTTGTCTTTTTTTTTTTCATCACAGGAAATAGCAAAATATTTGTGGACTCCGTGTACGCCAGCACGGAGATGAGCTTAAAGCAGCAGCACTGAAGTGCCAGCTTTTCGGCTCCGTGCACACTGAACCCCTATCATTGCCAGCTCCAGGGCTCCCTGGTTGGTGAGGACTGAGCAAAATTCTGGTGATGGAAAAGCCAAGGACTTGACCACTGGTTTCAGTGTCATCTAACAAGGGAAGCAGATCTAGTACAGCCATGGAAAAGAATTCAAGTTTATGGAAGAACCTGGTAGATGAACACCCAGTCTGCACAATCTGGAAGCCAGAGGCTGAGGGAGCAATTTATCATCTCGCCAGTATTTTGTTTGTAGTAGGTTTCATGGGTGGCAGTGGATTCTTCGGGCTCCTTTATGTCTTCAGCTTGCTAGGGCTGGGTTTCCTCTGTTCTGCGGTCTGGGCATGGGTAGATGTCTGTGCTGCAGACATATTTTCCTGGAATTTTGTGCTGTTTATCATCTGCTTCATGCAGTTTGTTCATATTGCATATCAAGTTCACAGCATAACCTTTGCCAGAGAGTTCCAGGTGCTGTACAGCTCCCTTTTCAAGCCCCTGGGGGTTGCTTTGCCCGTCTTCAGAACAATTGCCCTGAGCTCTGAAGTGGTTACTTTGGAAAAGGAGCACTGTTACGCCATGCAGGGGAAAACATCCATTGATAGACTCTCCCTGCTTGTTTCAGGAAGGTTTGTACCCTTGCTGCTGCATGCCTTTCCCTCTATAGTAGTTGTTTGTGTTTGTCTGCACTGCATTTTTCCTTCTTAGGGCAGTGTAGTCCCGGGTGGCATTTAACAACATCCCAAAGCTTGGGGAAGTCCTTGACACCTGACTCAGAGATGTGGGTATTTAGAGGACATGATGTTATGTTCTTTAAGCAGGAAATAATCTAGAGTCTTACTCTTTCATTTTAGAAATCAGCTGTGCGTGGTGGCACACACCTTTAATCTCAGCACTCAAGATATAGAAGCAGGTGGATCTCTGTGAGATTGAGGCCAGCCTGGTCTACATAGAGTTCCAGGCCAGCTAGGGCTACAGGGAGACTGTCTGAAAAATAAATAAATAAATAAATAAATAATAAGTAATAAATACATAAGCCTTAAAACTGAAATATGAATTTACTTATGTGGGTTCAATATTTGCTTCCTACCTGATCTCTGAAAGTCAAGGAGCAGATGAGGCCACCTTGAATTGATAGCTACTTACACTGGCACACAAAGTATTTTAAACACACAATAATGTGTTGATTCATGTTATTTAAAAAACTAGGGCTGGAGAGATTACTCAGTGGTTAAGAACACTGGTTGTTCTTGCAGAAGACCCGGGTTCGTATCCCAGCACCCACATGGCAGCTAACAACTGTCCATAACTTCAGTTCCAGGGCATCTGACAGCCTCTTCTGTCCTCCACGGACATTGCACGACATGGGTGCATTTACCTACACGCAGGCAATACATGCATACACATATTAAAAAAAAAAAAACTAAACCTTTAATTTACAGAGGCCCTTATGGCAGATCTCCTTTATGTTCTTAAATCTTAATTAAAAATCTTCAGTTGTTTTTACTGAAGCATAGTATACACATGTAATGCAATTTGATTAATGCCCAAGTGAGGAATATAAATACACAAATCTTATAGGGTGTCATGTAATTATATGAATTTAATATTTTGTCCTTCAAATGTTTAAAAGGAAGAGGCCGTCAGAGACTGGAAAAATGTTCCTCCGTGACATTCTCCCAACTGCACACGTTCTTTCTCCCCCTCATAAATGATGTTCTTGTGTTTTGATAGGATCAGAGTGACAGTTGATGGCGAATTTCTGCATTATATTTTCCCCTTTCAGTTCCTGGATTCTCCTGAGTGGGATTCACTGCGACCCACAGAGGAAGGCATTTTTCAGGTATGATTAATTAAACCACATGGCTAATGCCCCCTCTTCTGAACAGGAAAAATATTTGTTTGAAAGCAAGCGAGCACACAAATGTGCAGCTTTTTATATGTAACTTTGGGATACACTTTGCAGCATACACGCTTCCCAATTCTGGGTCCTACTGACTGATGTCAAAGTACAGCCACAATCAGAATGGAACTGCACAGGACAGGACGAGGCCCCTGATCAGCATTCTTTAGATTTCCCTTGTTTAACCTCATATCTGAGGATTAAAAATGGAATCGTTTAGATTTGACTTTAAACACTGCCAGTGTGACAGTTTAAAAAGCACCAAGAAAAACTGCACTTATTACAAAACAATTTTTTAATTTAAAATGCTGGCGGATTTCATTTATTTTCTAGCAACAGAATGACACACTTGCTATCACTCTGTGCTGTCACATCTGGCCATTTTGAAGGACAATTATTTCAGTTCCATTTATTATACTATACTATTTCTTATGAACCAATACATATATGTGCAAATAAAAATTCATATAAATATTTAAGATACATAAATTCCATAGTGTAGTAGAGAAATTGAGTTAGGGTTAAATATCCACAGTCTCAGATTTAGATATATTTAACATTAGCCAGCTTTATTTTTTTCATTTAACATAAAAAAACTTTGCCTTTAATAAAAAAAAATGCAAAATATAAGTGCCCAAACTTAGAAAAACAGGTATGCCGCAGGGATATACAGCATTATGATTATTTTCATTGTTAACTATAATAAGTAGTAATAAATTATGTTGTTTCTTCTATTTATTATTTTTATTTTATGTGTATGAGTGTATTGCCTGCATGTATGTGAGTGCACCTGTGTCGTGCAATGCCGAGGAGGTCAGAAGAGGGCTTCGGATTCCCCTGGAACTGGAGTTTAAGGACGGTTCGTAGTTGCCATGTGGGTGTTGGGAATTGAACCCAAGTCCTCTGCAAGAGCAGTCAGTGCTCTTAGCCGCTGAGCCATCTCTCCAGCCCCTCTTCCATTTTTGCAATATATATCAGAATTCTCTTAAAAATTGGGACAAGACATGCTGTCGAGTTTCCTGCTTTCCAGTCTTCATTTATACGCGGTCTTGTTTTTCAGGTCACCCTCACAGCAGAAACCGATTGTCGATATGTGTCTTGGAGGAGAAAAAAATTGTATCTGCTCTTTGCTCAGCATCGGTACATCTCCCGCCTGTTTTCGGTTTTAATTGGCAGCGACATTGCGGATAAGCTCTATGCCCTGAATGACAGGGTATATACGGGAAAACGATATCACTACGATATCCGGTTACCCAACTACTACCACATGTCAAGTCCTGAAATGTCCAGATCACCCCTGACAGAACATTTTCGGAATTCCAGACAACATTGTAACAAATGACATCAAAATTTGAAGTTTTATGACTACTACAAAAAGACTTCATCATTCCCCAAATAAAATAGGAAAGTACAGAAAACTTATTCATTAATATTTTTACAACTCAAATTCGAAGACAAGACGCCATTGCCATCTGTTTTATTCATCTTCTGCATCGCACATAAACTTTACAAATTTTCATGTATTTCTTATGGTTATAATGGGGGAGGGAGATGAGTAATAATGGGCAGTTTGCACTTTTTCTGCATCAGAACTGGGACGATGTAATTGCACATTCTCCGATATTTTCTCAGATTTTCCCAACTGTGTTGTCGTGCACTGTTGACTCAGGTGTCGCTTCCTACAGCCAGCAAGTGTTCTCAGAGTGAGAGAAGCTTGCTACTGTACAGTCGAGTTTCTACAATTCGCTTTTTGCTACAGTCTCTGATGAATGTAAGATGCATTATTAGTGTGAGAAGCAATTATTTATTTTACACGTGCAGTTATTTGATATGCCTAAAAAGCAGAATAAATATAAGAAATGATAACACGCCAGTTTGAAGACTCTTCATGCTATAAACAAGTCCGAAGCTTAAGTCCTAAGAGATTCCTCTCTGGCCACATACAGCCCTCACGGCTCCAAAGCAGACACAGTGGCAGCTCTCTGCTGGTGAGGCCAGGCCTTCAGGAAGCACCTACTGACTTTTTGATGGGCTTCACAGCAGCTCTGGGAGAACTTTAGTCTTATGTCTTTAAGTCGGTGTGACAGTAAGTATTAAAATAAAGGGCATCCCACCTTACATTAATACCAGGTGGTAATTCAACACCTTAAGTTGTGCCTGGTAATAATTTAACAGGGATTAATTATCAGATCACTTTGTAACCATGAAAGCTAACAGAGAACAGAGTCATACAGAGATGGGCTCAGATCACACAGCAGAGGGGAATTAGAACACTTTGTAGATGAACTCTCCAGAAATCTGTTTTTAGTTCAGGACACAAGTACAGTGGGATAAAGGGCTGCTGAGAGAGGAATGCATGGAAACCTCAACCATTTGCATTTTCACTGAGGGCTGACATGGCCCCTCAGTAGTAACAGTTGTGCTATGATCCAACACTTTGGTTTGCAACCAGATTTTCTACCTCAATAAAAAATAAAAATAAAAGACCCTACAGTGACCTCATTGTAACTACATTGTATATCCAGTTTGAAATGTCTAGAAAACTGCATTTCACTATCTCAAAAAATTCTAGTCAACCCAGGTAGAAAGCAGGAAGGAGTACCTTACAAAGAGAAATACCCACAAATTTCAACTCTGTGGTGCACTTAAAATTTAATTTCTACTAAAAACTGGGTTTGTTTTAGCCCCAGCCTAATTGTTGCCTGTTCTAAATACCTTGGGTTCTCTTGCCATTGGTAAGAGTGCAATAAGATGAGATACAGCTAAAGATGTTTTATGGGTTCATAAGCAAGGTCTGCATAGTCATAGATAAATAAAGCCCCTTGTTTAAAAGGCATTAAGAATTTCAAATCATCAGAGCATTAAACCAAATTCAGGATTTTGCAAGCTAGAGGCCCTTTGTAATCACCCAGGTCACATGCCCAGAAAGCTGGCACTCACCAAGGGCTACCCTGACTTTAGGGAATTGGTGTGATTGTCTTGTGGTTTTTCTGTCCTCAATTTTGTGGTCAAGAGGGACTATGAAAAGTAGTGAGGGGAAGGGGAATGACTGTGACACAAAATGAGCCCTAAACACCGGACCACAGTCACCAGCGCAATTTCCCCAAGGCTATGGATCTATCTTACAGGCCTTTACTTCACCCTGATGTCTGAAGGCCTCCCATCCCCTCAGAGCTAGTCCCTTGAAACTGATTTGACCCCTGTGCAAATATGAGAAAGGGCAGTGTGATTTGCTCTGGACTACACACCTTTAGGAACTTGCTCCCAAAATTAATCTACTGTAAGGAACAGCAGGAGATTCTCTGAACACTTGTACATTGAATAATTTCCCTTTCTTCAGTAGAAGAGCAAAGGGAAGTTCCTGTGCTTGCCGCTCTTCTGGATAAGTGAGAATGTCAGACTCTTACCGCACAGATCCAGAAGGGCAGAACTGATTGACAGAGCACTCACAAATGGAGTGCTCTCTGTTTCTCCCCTCCTCCCTTCCTATCTATATTGAAACCTTTTCTTGTCAGATGTGGTAGCTAATGCCCATAATCCCAGCACTTGAGAGGCTGAGGGAGGAGGGGCATCACAAGCTTGAGGCAAGCCTGGGCTACATAGTGAGTTTCAATCCAGCCTGGGCTACAGAGTAAGACTTTGCCTCCAAAACAAAACACCATACACCCCCCCCCAAACACACACATAGGATGTAGCTCAGTGCTTATCTAGTAAAGCCTTAAGTGCAGTGTCTAGAACCAAAAATAAATCTACTGATCGTAACACAAAATATGTAGACATTTTACAAGATGAGTGATATGACAATCTTGGTTTAAGCAAAGATAGAAATCTATGTGGCACTGGATCGTGTTTTCTAATGGGTTCCACATTCCCATAGATCATGAATTTTTTTTTAAAATATGACCCTTCTGGGGAGGGCATCTGTAAGGCAGCTTTACTCTTTGCTCTTCTGTCTCCTAGCTCTTACTTCTGTCTTAGGAATTGCTATATGATTTGAAACTGCTTATTTAAATTGTTTCAACTTTGGCACAATATAAAAGGCAGGACAATTTTATTCATCTTCAATCTACCTTCCCATTGATAGGACAAAGCCTCCCATGTGATATAAAAGAATACAATATAATACATAATAATCTTGACATAAAATGTCTTCAGACTGAACACAGGATTGACTTCTTGACTTTCTCCAATAATGAAAAATTTAGACAAAAAACTTCACCATCAAATGATGTATCAAATGCTATTTTTCAACATAGTTTTACGCATTTTAAAGAGATCAATAGGCCCAATTAATTCTACTATTTTTTTCTACTAAATTTTCATACATAAACACAAATAAACGTAATGTAGATTTGATTTGGCAGACCTCTTCTTGCAGTAATGAAAAGAGGGCAAGACAGAGACCATTACTTGAGCTCTTAGTCATCTTTCATATCGCCACCATCTTAATGATAGGCTGTGCATTTGTATATACTTCCTCATTGTCTGCACATGAACTGAAGTTCTACTGTTATACTAACTTTGATTACTTTTTTAAAATTTTATTTATTTTTTTATTTTATGTGTATGTATGTAATTGCCTGCATGTAGGTAAGTGCACCTGTGTCATGCAATGCCTGCAGAGGACAGAAGACTGTCAGATTCCCTGGGATTGGAGTTACGGACAGTTGTTAGCTGCCATGTGGGTGCTGGGATACGAACTTGGGTCTTTTGCAAGAACAGTCAGTGTTCTTATCCACTGAGCCATCTCTAAAGCGTCCTAGTTATACTAAGTATTGACAGGGAACTTCGACACAAGTACATGCAATTTCATTTGCTTGTACTTGTGCAGTGGCAGTTAGAAGAATTACATTTTTTGGATAGAGAGTGGAGGGGCTGAATCACAGTTAGCAAATAGTAGCCCTCAAGCCCAATTCTTCCAAACCAGTGTCTTTACACTTTTTACGCTACTGTTTTCCTGACTGTGTTCCTGACTTGGAGAGTATTAAAATGTCCCCAATTCTGAACTGAAGGTAAAATTCAGTGCCAAAATGCTAATTACATATTTTCTGAATGTACTAGTGATCATCTGAGGAACACGAGCCACACAGGAGCCTTTCCTTTCCTCTGAATCAGCAGCGGCAGTTAGCTCAAGCTCAAATGGGGCATCAACTAAAACATGCAACAAACTGGAATGCTATTAAAATGGCTATCAGTTTGCACAATGAAAGAGCAGGGCCAAGTTTCTCTAATACAGCATGAACTAGTTCTGTAAATCTGGGGTGGTCCCATTTCATTTCAGATGTTTCCACAGCTCATGTGAGACATCCCTAGATGTTCTAAGATGCCTTCCTGATCTCACCCTATCTGCCTTGTGTGTCATCCATCACTTCCTTCTTAGAGCAAAATTAATTCAGTGTTCCATGTGGTTTTGGTTCTCTGTCTCCTCACTGAGGTAAAATAGCACTCCATGTTCAATAACATTTAAAGCTTTTTCAAATAGTAACTAGTAAGGACTCTAAGATATGGAAGGTATTTTTGGCGTGGCATAAGAGGTTTCTAAAGAACAAGGTATTACTCTAGGATGTAGTTTGGCTCCCTTGAGATAAAAGTTTAGTCAGTGCATGTGCCGGATAGCTTTAGTGTCAACTTGACATACCTGTGGCCATGTCTGTGGGGTATTCTCTTGATTGTTGAGTGATTTAGGAGGGCCCAGCCCATTGTGGGTGGTGTCACCCTTGGACAGGTAGGCCTATGTTGTATAAGAAAGCAGGCTGGGCAAAGGGCCAGGGGAGCAAGCCAGTAAGCAGCGTTCCTCCATGGCCTGTGCTCCAGCCTCTGCCTCCAGGTTCCTGCCCTGAGTTCCTACCTTGGGCTCCCTGATGAACTGTGACCAGGGAGATGTAAGATAAAATAAACCCTTTCCTCCCCACATTGGTATTGGTCAGAGTATTTTGTCACAGCAATGAAGAACAAACTAGAACAATGCATGAACTTGCTGTCTATGTTTCCGAGAAAGGAATTCCCCCTTTAAACTGATCCCCTAGCCTGCACCTTGCTCACCACCGAGGAGTGGTGTCTGGCACCTGAAAGCAGCTTTGCAGCTGTTTGTTTCACAGAAGGAAAGTAACAGTACTTCTCTTGCATCTGTGTCTGAATTTTAACACCAAACCCTGACCCAATCTGATTTCAATCATGCAGTCCCCCTGGCAGTTTTATCATGAAATAAAATGTAAGGCCCATGATAACGCCATTTATTCCTTGCTGAGACTGTTGGGAGCTTGAACATTTGTTCAGAATGCAGAGCCAGTAAGTAGTTCTTAGGTTCCAGGAGGACTCTGGGTTAAAAACCTGAATATTGATTTGCTTAGAGACTTTTTAGACACCAGAGCCCTCTCTGCCTAATGGCCTCCCAATTAATGTTTTAAAACAGAAACAGGCCAAGTATTGTTATGCAGATGCTTCTGTTTTAAATGATAATTAAATAATATGACTGCCTGTTGTATCTTATTTTTCTCAAAAATGAATAGTTTGGGAGCTCCTCTGACTTCATATTAAACTGGTCTCTGTGCTATTATATTTATAATTAATTTTTCTGGCAAAACTTACCCCCAATTTAGTACCTGGTATATAGAAAATGCTTACTAATTTTTCTTTTTAGAAAAGTCAATCAAAACACTGATCCGGCATGTGCAAACATTGTTTCTCTGCCATCAGTCTCATCCTGTGTCACCCCCTTCCAGGTGGACGACAGGAAACACGTCATCCTGCTACTTAAAAGTTTCCATTTTCAACAGTTGTTCTAAATGAAGTCCTCTCTTTGTTTTTCCCCT